ATATGTAATGAATATTAAACGCATAGAGTTCGTGACAAACACATAACAAAGATGATGGACAGCTCTTGAACCTGTTTTAGCACTCACATGCTACAACAGCAATTGGGAAGTAGCCCAGCCATTCCCTCTCTGGACATATCTCAAAGACTTGGTCTCTTCTCCACTCGCGGTAGTTGCAGTGTGACGTGGTGTTGCAACTGTTTCTTTCATGGAAGGCTAAATGGAGGGTGTGTGGAGAAAGGGGGTCAGCCAAAATCGCTTGTACGAATGTGCATCAAAAATACCTTCAACGAAGTTCTGCGAAGGTTTCTGGGATTTCGTGGCAGTCAGTTCTCCTATACTGGCCCACCGTTCCACAAACTGTCCACGACTAGCCGTGGGTTCTACGAAGGTCTCGGGCCTTCCATGATATTAGTAGAATAGGTTTTTGCAAACCCTTTCTGTGTGCGCTACCCTTCCGTTTGCCTTTGACACAGACAAGAGCCAGCGCCCAGAATTTCCCTTTTCACACACCATCTAGCCGTACTACTGTAGCTTCTTAGAAGCTGTTCGCTCCCAAGCCCTCACACACCTTCTTTTGAAGGTCGAGAGCCGCGACAAGCTGCGGATCCTTTCAAAGGTCCAGGCACCTCGTCTGCGCTGCAGAGTGTTATGGATGGTCTTAGACCCTCCGCCAAGAGGGAAACTCCGTTCCCGTCGCCTTTCCCACGCACAGCGGATCGAGGTTGAAGTCTCAGCCCACGCCCTGAGGAGAAACGGCGCACTCGTCACTGCCCTTCGTTCTCACTCAGGAGGCACTTTTCAACAGCACGCCCTGCGCCTATTCCACTCTTGGTGAAGCGCTTCAGCTGCGAAGCCAGGGACTCACAAAACGCCTCCGAAGACAGGATGGAACCGCAGGCATGGAAAACGAAAAAGGCGTCTCTGGTGCCAGGGCAAAAGAAATCTTTGTCAATATGCGCCAGCCGCCAGAGCTCGCACCATTGAATTTTGCTATCTTTCCAAAGCTTGTCTGCGTGCTTTCGAGATGCGGAGAAGAAACACGCCATGACATTCGCATATTGTCGTCGGAGGTGTGTCGGGTGCTTCACGGAAATTGTCCAAGGCCAGCGACGCTGGCAATAAGTCACCACACCTTCCTTACCAGCGAGGAACACAGGGAAGTCAAAGCAGCAGTCCATGCCCTCAAGGACTTTAGATGGAATTAGCCAAGCAGTGTTGCGAAGCACTCGGGCTTCAAAACTCTGAGCCATGCGCTTGCACAACTCGCGGCAATCGGCGATCGCGTTGCGCAAGTCCTTCCCAAGATCTAGAGAAGACAAAGGCACGGCTTGGAAGGTCTGCTTCAACATCACCTCCGGCAGCCAACACAAAGTGGGGAGCCACCATTTGCTGAAGCGACTGACACCTGCGTGCTGAAGGTCGAAGCTAAGAATGCGGAAATAGTTTTAAACGGTGCGACAATAATCGCAAAACTATCTCGCGAAGGGCGGAGCAGGAGAAGCAACCAAAAGCACATGATGCACATGTTATGTTTTCCCATCAAGCGGCGAGCCAAGTAGAAGGACTAAATTTTGCAACACCCCGATCGTCTGTTCTAAACCGAGGGAGCTCTCGATCTGCGCGGCCAATGCGCTAGCCACTCATTGGTTGACAATCCTTTGCTCCATGTACACAGCAGCGCTCTTCTGCACTTGCAGCGCGGCTTTTAAAAAAACACACCATTGGAGTCCAAAGCGTCCACGGACTGCGTAGCTGCACTTGTGAAGCACAAAGTCGCTCTACCTTCCTTCGCCTCTTGGTTGTGCTGGGCGCAGGGGCTGGCCATTTTGCGGCGCGGGCCACCTCTCGCGCCAACTCCGCCAAGGTCTCTTTTTCCTGCTAAGCTTCCGAATTGAAGGCAGCGGAGGGATAAAAAATGACCACTAAATAGGATCACCATCTGTCTTGGTTAAAGTTGGACTCACCGACTCATCGACCTGTGTTCCAAAAAGTAGGCGCGCTACAGGGATGTGCCGGGCAAGCTGTGGAGCAGGTCGTGACACCCTGTTGCCCACATGCTCTCTGTAGTGCTGCCTGCCATGCCACAACTCTCCACCCGACAAGACTGGGATATACATGGGCCATGTCTGGCGCCAAGCCTAGTTCTTGAAACCTGGTATGGGAAGAAACATGGAAAAATACAACTTCAGCCTACAAGCCACCGAAAAATGTTTCGAGGACTGACGCAAATATTGGCCAGCTTGCACTATGTAGCGGGTTGGGCCTGGGCCGTGCGCGCAGGGATTGGTTCTGAACCCATGGCGCTGATAGCTCTTGTGGAGGAAAAAGCGCCCTGCCCTCGCCGCAAGAGTTTGCGCTGCGCTCGCACAATCTGTGTCCAAGAGTCTAGCACCGAAAGAGGCGTTGGAACACTACCGGCAGCTCTGCCGTCGGAAGACGAGGACGAGTTCGATCCCGCAGCATTAGCAGCTCCTCTGCGCCGGAGGACATCTTGCCCCACACCATCGAAGCAATGAAACATGTCTGAATGCCCGGCCCTCAAAGGCAATTGGGCTGCTACGCATTCGGCCAAATGGGCGTCCACTGAAGTTCCAGTCTTGTGAGAAATCCTAGTTGGTGGGGTGCAACACATCAAGCAAAACATGAATGACACATCTGGTCTTGGAGAGACGGTCAATAGTTGCAAAAACCAGACCTCAAGGCCCTCTAAAAAAACAAGAGCTTCATCATGCATCTTTACGCGACCCTCTTTCTCACGCCGCGCCTGATCACAGCGCAGGGTGTGGAATCTCTTCCAAAGCGCCCGCTGGAGGGTTTAGGGCCCAGCAGTACGGATTCCTTGAGCTGATTTGGGCACACTTTGAAAACACTTAAACAAAACAAGGAGAATTGATAAGAACAGCCGCTCTTTCGACCTGGTGGCTGCTGTGTTTGATGACCCTATAAATTGCTCCAGGCAGGCACTCCTATAAGGTCAACTCCTGACGCGGTTTTTGCTTTGCAAGATGTTTGGTCTTTGCATATATGGTCATCTGTGTGGTGCGCTGTGCCAATCACATGCTCCGCAAGCGCGCGCTGTTTAACACACACGAGGTTGACACTTGTTTGGTCCTTGGTGTCGGTGGGGCCATGAAAAGTCCAACCTGGAGAGGAGCAAGGCCACACTCGTCGCTTTCGGACTTGGACACTAGCATGTAGAGTGTCCAAGACGCCGTCTCCTCACTGGACTGCGTGCTCTTCAGGACCGTCTCTCCTGTGGATGCCACCTTAGGCGCTCACCCTCTTTTCGCGTTCGCTTCGGCCAAATTTTGCCGCGTCAGCCAACGAGTGCAATAAGAATGCGCAAACAGTTTTCAACAAACCATGTATGAAAATATGCTGTTGCAAGGAACCAATGCCTAAGCATCAGGAGTGGAAAACCCACCTAATGTTGAGCCATCACTTGGCGAAACTTTCCGCTTGCTAGTGTGCAAACAGATGCGTGCGTGTGAAGGGTCAGCATACATATTTGTACAGATATATGGTAGATATGTGCGCAGTATTTGTAAAATTGAACACGCATGTATGTACACGTACATATAGTAAAATACAGGAGTATCAACCTATACAAAGACGGGCCAGGGCACTTGCAATGTAGCCGGCCACCGCTCGCAGGTGCAAATTGAAATCTCCAGCAGACCTAGCTGGGCCTCCCCTTCCATGTCGGGGCCGCAGTGACATTCATGCAGCTGAAAGGTGTCATTCAGCATCCGTAGTTTGTGCCCCTGCTTTGCCCCGCTCTCGACAGAGAAACGGAAAGCATAACCAAGCTCTCTGTGTACAGCTCGGCCGCAAGCTTCCGTGGCTGGCGTTTGCGCTGCATTGACACGGAAAGCCCCAGTTGAGGCGCTCGATTGCACATGCTCGCCTGCGTCTGGCCCGTTTCAGCCCCATGAGTTAAAATCAGAGGCGCAGACCTGCAGCTGAAACATCCTACATCCAACTATGTAGGAGTGAAAAAGAGTGAGTGGGAAGTTCAATATTTGTTGTTCGGGAGTAAGAAGCATGTTGAAATTTTGAAGGGGTATTTAAAATAGTAACCATGCGTGATGTAAGCGGCCGAGGAGCCAACGCTGCCGACTCTGGGTCTGCAGAAAAGACAGGCCTCTTCATGCGAACTGGAATCTGTCTCTCATAGTCAGCCTTCATTTCCTGCCAGGCTTTAACCGGGATGGCTAAGAAGTATCTCAGCGCCATGGCAAAAGAAACCACGAAATTGAAAGAACAGGATGCCTGAGCAAAAACAATGGGCTGCGCCGAATCAGCCTGGCAATAGCTTGAAATTTGCTTCGAGAGATTTTGTGCCCCTGCCTTGGCTCAAGAAAACTGTAACAGTTGAAAACAAAGCTGACTGCCGCCGCCTTCCCAAACGGCAGCCCAAGTCATCATCAAAACGGTTGAAAAAGGCTTGTTCAGTGCCTTGTTGCCAGTGGGCCCGGAAACCGGGGAAGCGGACACATTGAATTTAGTGATCTTCCTTGCTCATCTGGTTTTCTCGCTTGTATTCATTGGGGGACGTGTTTGGGAACCCTTGTCCTGCATGTGGAATGACAAATGAGCCTGCGTGCGACTGTTGAGCCTCGCACCTCGACAGCAGTGCTCCATGATCACCTTCAGCTGGACAGGCGTGACCATGGTCGGCAGAGCTTCCCCCAACTCAAAGACCAAGCCTTTCTGATGAACATCCAAAAGCTGAACAATGTGTGGAGATCGGGCCGCGCAAAGACAGAATGTCCACCTCTGCGCAGATAGCTGCAACGTCCTTCTTGCGCTTCCTGGGCTGCACATGCAGCGGCCCCCAGGGCATGTTTAAAAAAGGTTTCTTTAAAGACACAAACTGAATCGTTCTCATGGGCATCTGTGAGTTGGGGGCAATATTCCGGATTCGAGGCACTCCTGAGTATAATGATGAACGCTCTACGCTCTGCCTTTCATGGTGCGGAAAAAAAAGCACACAGTTAGGGAAAGAGCCAAGACACATGGTCTTCACTGCCACAGGCATCTGTCGCCACGTAGCCCGGCAAACACAGCCATATGTTCCCTCTCCAAGAACTGCTCCCAGCACTTGGCAGCCGGTGTGGTGCCGTAAAGAGCATCAAGGCCTTCTGCGAAATCGCTCGAGAGTCAGGCTCAGGCACACCAGGCGCAGCTTCTGAAACTGATGCTTCCGAGCCGGGCACTTGCAAAGACCAGAACTTGGCCTTGGCGCCTTCTGACTGCTTGCGCTTGCCGCCTTTGAAGTTGGCCATTCGTCCATTCGTCGTGTGACCCAGTCTGAGATCGCGCTGAAGGACACCAGTCGCCTCGTCCGGAGATGGATCTGGTTCAAGTTCTTTATAAGCTTCACCTCATCCACAGTTCTCTTCTCGGTCTCAATCACTTGCAGCAAGTGATTGTGAACTTTCCCTACAACCGCAGGATCATCGTTTTTCAATGATATTGCCCAGTCATTGCTATAACGGTCCTGCAGGGCTGGCATTGCCTCAGTCTGCTGTCTGGAATTGCCTGCCTGATGTCGGATGTTGTTGTCTAATGTCTTGCTAAGTTGTTATCTAACGTCTGGTTGGCGTCTCTTGTCGATCAAGATGATCAAGTTGGTGTGACTCCCAACCCTCTTTTGATCCTGGAGACATGAGGTGAGAAGATCTGAGTTCGTTAGTGGTCAACTTCATTCAACTTCAGGAACTCTACCAGACTCTACTTGAAGCCCCAAACAGCACTCCACTGAGCTACTGTCCTTGTGTAGCTGCGCTCCACAAAATAGCCAGACACAAAGACAATAGCAAAGGCAAAAATACAAACGCAAAGTAGCACGCTCATAGGACAAACACAAAGACATCGGATTCTCCCCAAGTCTTCTCCACCCTCTGGCCTCCAAAATGCTCACGGCACATCGACGGACATGAGAAAAAACAGCTCTGGCGGACACCGCAATCCAGAAAAATGCCAAATCTGTGATGTATCGCCGGGTCCAGTGACAGTGAGGTTGACCTGTGCTGGGGGGAGAATAGAACATGTTGTGATTGGATGAGTTCCAGGAGAATCTCGAAATTTGGTCAAGCTCTACTTCCACAACACAACAGTATTACCTAGTGGGGCATGGCCAAAGGTACCCTGTCTATTCCTGTAGACAAAGTGTTCATAAAGGACAGCCATGTGTTCATTGGAGGCCATCGCTAGTAGGTTGGAGGCCATCGCTACTAAGTTGGAGGCCGTTGCTAGTAGGCTGGAGGCCATCGCTCGTAGGTTGGAGGCCATCGCTGGAAGGGTTGGAGGCCGCCATTGCTAGTAGGTTGGAGGCCGTCGCTGGTGGGTCGGAGGCCATCGCTATTATATAGGTTGGAGGCCATCGCTCGTAGGTTGGAGGCCATCGCTATTAGGTTGGAAACAATCGCTAGTAGGTCGGAGGCCGCCATTGCTAGTAGGTTGGAGGCCACCATTGCTAGTAGGTTGGAGGGCGCCATTGCTAGTAGGTTGGGGGCCGCCATTGCTAGTAGGTTGGAGGCCATCGCTCGTAAGCTGGAGGCCATCACTCTTAGGTTGGAGGCGCGCTAGTAGGCTGGAGGCCATTGCTAGTAGGTTGGAGGCCATCGCTAGTAGG